AACAGTCAATTAGCACATATTTTGTATGTTATATGTACTATATACAGTATTCTTACAATAAACTAGAGAAAAATGTTAAGAAGATCATAAGGAAGAGAAAATGTATTCCTATTCCTAAGTGAAGTGGATCACTATAAAGTTCTCATCCTCTTTGTCTTCATGATGAATAGGCTGAGGAGGTGCAGCGTTGATTTTTTTGTCAGGGGTGGCAGAAGTGGAACTAAATTTGTGTAGAAGTGGAGCCTCACAGCTCAAACCAGCATCATTCAAGTGTCCACCGTCCACCACTGTACCTTTCGGCATTCTATATTGTTCTTCATTTTCACTGCGTTATTTTTCTCCATGTCTTTTTTTTTTTTTTTTTTAAACCACCAAGCTCCACAATTAAAATATTTTTGCTGTGGATTGCCTGAAGACAGGATTTTTTTTTTTCCTGCGATATTCACTTCAATGCCTGGATTATATGGTGTACTCAATATATGGCTCGTTAACTGAAATTAGTATGTCTCAGAAGGGAAAATGTTAAAACCTTTTTTTGGTTTATTTATCACATATTCATAAATATCCTGCCTGAAAAAAAATTGTATATCTAATATATAATGTGTGCATGGCATTCTTTATTTTCTCTTTCTCCAAAAAAAGAAAAAGTAGAACACGCCATATGTCATTCAGTGGCTTCTTAAGAATGTTTCACTGGCTTCACTTATTCATTGTATCGCTTTAAAATGTTCGTTAATGATATTTTGTATTGAGCTATTATAAAAATATATTTTCTACAAATTTAACATTCTCTTTATTACCATTTGATCTCATCATTCCAAAAATTATTTGAATTTTTCACTTGAAATAAATGAATGTAATTTACTTGTTCAACACAAGAAAACTTGTGTTGAAGTTGACATGCAAAACACTCTAAAATGATGCAAGTATTTTACTTGAAAAGATAAAGGTCAAATCTAAGATTGAAATCTGATACATGATCTACAAAAAATTATAATCACAAGAATTAAAAATACATAATTATATTTACATAGTGTGTAAAATATAAATGTATGGTTAGTTACGTTATTGTACTCCCTTTTTTATACCCCCCAAAAAATATGAATAAAGAGGGTTTCAGGTTATAAAACTAGACTATTATCTTTTCAAAACTCAGCTTTTTAGTTTAGCTCCTATAATCTTCTCACAAAGGCAGAAATAAAAAGGTGAGAGAGAGAGAGAATTAATACCTTTTGTCATGGAAAGAAAATAGTAAAATATTAGAAAAATATGGTATCGTGGTTAACAGCATGGAATCTGACACAAAATGCTTGGGTTTGAGTACATGCCCTAGCACTTGCTAGCACTTATTTGGGAAAGATGCTGACCATTTATTTGTCCTTGTTTTTTAAACTACTAAGTGGCGATATTGATAGAAACTACATAATTACATTATTTATAAGATTAAATGACTTAATGTTTGGAAAATGCTTGGATTACATGTCTGGCATATACTAAGTGCTAAATAAGTGTGTGAAAACTAAATAAATGGGAAAAGAAAATATACTACAATAAAGATATATTCTAGAGGTAGAGGAAAAACTATTTGGAAGTATATTTTATTACTTAGAGTTTAAACTTCATAAGGTAAAGAATCTTGTCTAGTCAGAAAATATTTAGGTCAAGTTGAAATAACCTCCTTCTTTTCTTTTTAGGATTTGTCACTTTTTAATTTCTACCACATTTAATTGCAAGCACCTTTTAACTCCCTCATGGTGCTGAAAATTCAAATATTCATCTCTTTTCCTCTGTCAAACAGCACCTGAATATATATAGAAATGGATTTAGGGCTCTTTTGGTAAGGAATTTAAATGATGAAAGAGACCAGGTAACATCACAATTTTAATATGTAATTTGATTCTTGATTTCTTTATAGTGTAGTGGCAAATATTGAAATGCCAGAGGAAAAAAAAATGGAAGATTTTAGTATTGTATCTTATTTTAATTACACAAGATGAATTGTATAATTTAAATGTCTTTTTATCAAAATTGCTATTTAGTACATTGATCGCTCGTTTTTCACTGCAGAATTTTGTTGTTGTTGTTGTTGTTTTCAGAAACAGGTAATTTAGCTAAATACAGAGTAATAAGAAAGTATCCTGATAGTTTCTCCAGAGTGAAAACTTTCAAGAGTTTTCATATTCCAGGAATGTGTATTAGATAAAAAAAGTATGAATGTATCTTCATTTCTACACACATTATCTTTATGTTTTAGTGCTTGTGCCTTCTGATAAAAAAAAGCTTGGAAAACATTCAAATCTATATGAAAATAAACCCTACCATTTCAAGATCAAAGAGAACTGATAAATTTCAATATAATTTCTTAAAATTTTAAATAGTTACTATTTTATAACCTTTAAAATAACCCAATTTACGTTTTCTCCTACAGGCTTGTTATTATGTTTAAAAACAAAATTTACCAACTTGCAACTCTAAACCGTTGGGGTAAAAACTTATACCCCAAAATTTGTTGCTGATGACTCTCTTGGTTTGTGAAACAATAGACTTTCTCCAGGCATTATCTTTCCAGATGTAAACCTTTTAACTAGTTCATATGAAAATATCTGCTAACACAGCAAAATCATGAATGCATGTCTTTCACATAAAGTTCCATTCATGTTATCATGTTTTTAAAAATGTAAGGTAATAAGTCTTTCTACCCTAAAGTAAAGTCATTTCACTATCTTTGTAGCAACTGAACAATTCTACTGAACCCAATAAATGAAAATATTTCCCTACTACTCCCCATCATCTGGTGTCTAATCTGGTTAGTCCTTATTTATAAATCCCTACTTCCATGCCTTTGAATATCTAAAGTGGATTAAGAATGGCCACAGATTCTCTGTCAAACTTTTCAGTGAGATGTTAATTTTATCCTGTACCTCCATCTCATCCTGGAATCTGGGCTTGTCCAGTGACTGCTCCCTAAGAGAGGCTGTGCCAGTTCTGGCCTTAGCTTTTAAGAGGACTTGGCCGTTTTTGTTTTCTCCCTCTTGGAACACAGGTTCTTGGGTTGCTCTCTCTTGGATACTAGCTACCATGTTATGAGAAGCTCAGGCCAAACGCAGGGGCCATAGGGAGGGAAGCTGAGGAACTTCAGTGGACAGCCCCATGACCCCCCAGCTGACAGTCAGTGCCAACTGTCAGCCATGTAAAGTAGCCATCTTGGCTCAGCCCATTCAACCTCCCGGGGCCTCAGCGTGTGTCACAGGAAGTGCAACCGCCCAGCTGAGTCTATTCAATGCACAGAATCATAAGAGAAATAGTAAAATAATTTGTTTTAAGTGGCTACATTTTGAAGTAGAGAGATAACTGAAACAACGTCCTTCTGTTTCCTTAAATATAGGGTTTATATTTGGCTCAATTTAAGGTTCGTACCAAGCACCTTTGGTAATTTATTTCAGTTGTCTTTATGTTGCATTTTCAACTAGAGTGTAAGTTATTCAAAGTCACTGAATATCACTCTGTTTTCTTTCCATGTGTCCCTATAGCTATTAGTACGTTATTAGCGGCATGGGACTCTGATAACCTGAGGTTGCCAGTTGAATCCTAACAGAATGGGAGGGCAAATAGAGCATAGAACAGGTGTCTTTCTATATAAGTCAAAATTTAAAAGACCATGTCCATGTGCATTATATATATTATATACACATATATTATACATACATTATATTACATCTAATATAATATGTGATATGCACATATATTATATACATACAATATCCACACACATTAATATTGGCATTTAATCTGGATTGTCTGAGCAAAAAAGTTAACTGTCATCTGGAGTTTTTTTGTTTGTAAACTAAACCTAAAATATCAGTTTTAGACACATTGTCATCTGTTGGTAATTTACATGAGGAATACTGAAAGAATACCAGACTGAAGGGAAAAGAGAAATTATGCTCTAAATCAAAAACAAATAATATACAGAAAAGGAGAAAAAGCTAAAGTTATGGTCTGGAACTATGCTGTAAAACAGAGGTGAACATAGTAATTTTCTCTTTTCAGTTTCTACCATGTATTCCGCAGGTACTTGATTGGGGAAGTAACAGTGATTATGTCCACTCACTGTAATTAATGATTTTATCTGAATGGATGCTGTATGCAAGACCGTTTACTAGTTTAACAGTAATGAAGCATGTTTCAACTCAACACCCTGGATTCAACAAATAGAATGATAGTATGCCCATTCCTGATCCAAGACTATTTTTTAAGGTATTGTTTAAAATGTGAGAGATTTTATTTTTTTTTAATTCCAAGTTCACTTTTGAGTTATTTAACTTTGAAAAGTAATAACTGTATCAGTACTTAAAAATATATCCAATATAATTAAATGATTCTCTAAATTTATTTCCTTGAGCACCTGACAATATTCCCAGGAAACCTCTCCCTGCTATGTTGCTTCCCAGAATTCATATTTCTGTGTTTCAAAACTGCACTTTCTTAGAGAGAAAAAGAAGGGTAGAAAATAATGCAGACTACAAAAGGCAAAGTGTATGTGTGGGGGTGGGGGTGAAGAATTAAGTCTCTTACACTCTAGATTAAGTTGCATTTATATAAAATTTAAAGGTAATTGGTCTTGATATAAAGGACACATTCAACAACATTTATTAAATATGTTTTCATTCTATTTTAAAATTCAAGTGATTCACGAAAACACATATTACAGTATAGCCCTTTATTGATACATACAGTCCATTTACATTGTTCAAATACATTTTGAATTTCTAATGCGAACAGTTTAAGGCATAACTCTTCCCACTCAAATCTAGGTCTTTCTCAAGTGAGACGCTAGAGTGAGAGAGAGTAGAAAGGGGAGGAAGAGATAGGGCGAGCAGAAAAGGAGGGAGTGCCAGAGGTGAGGGTGAGAAAGAAGAAAGAAGGGAAAGAGAAAATACAGTCTGAAGTCCACAGGCTTATCTATCCCACGCATGTCTACCCCAAGCATGTGGACATCATATCCAGGTTGTAACAAAGAGGTGACTATGGCGTTTCTTTTTGGCTCTAGACAGGCGCATTCAGCCTGCATTGCATGCATGTCTGTCACCTCATCTAAGTCCCCATTCCTTCTGGAGTTGTGAGCTCCAGATCCAAGAGCGCCCAAGGCACGGTGCTGGGCACGCTGTCCCTTCGTGAGGCTGCCACAGGTTCCTGCGAGTGCGGTCAGGGGCGTTGGTGCATTGACATGTTAGGCGGAGGGAGGAGTGCCATCTGCCAGAGTCTTATCTGGGTCCCCACGTTTCCTGGCCATCGCGGAGGAGTGTGCGAGGACAGGTAGCCCTCGCAGTGACAAGGCGCGCGGAGTGCGGTCGTGCAAGGCGGGGGAGGAGCGGGGTGGCACTGCCAAATCTTAACCGGGGCCCCGGGTGTTTGCAGACCCGAAGAGAGCCGCCTTGGGTCTCCACGGTGTCCTCCAGCAGCTGCTGCCTGAGAACTCTGAGCCTCAGCTCTACCTTGCTTCGGGATCCTCTTCCTCCTCCTTCCCCACCCCCTACCTGGCCCGAACGGCGGGACGCGCGGCCCGGGGGATCCCCTCTCCCCGGGACCGGCCCAGCCCCGGGTCGCCTCCACCTCCCGCAGCTGCCGCGCCACGGCTCGCCGCGCTCCAGCCGACACCATGGAGAAATTCCTGGGACACCCGCCTGCAGCCGACGACTTTTCCCCTGGAATCTCTGGCCTGGCGCCCTTTGAGTGAGATGACGGGGTACTGGCATCCCTGTCGGTCCCAGATTACCCGGAAAAGCCCTGGCAGGGAAAGAGAGGACCCCTGCAGGCTGGGAGCTCCCACTCCTCCTCCAGCGTCACGCTCGCCCTCCGCCGCTGCCTCGCGTCCGGGTCTGTTTATATAGCGTCTGGAGGCCGGGCGGCATTGCCCACCCCCGCCAGGCGGCCCGCCCTCCCTTCCCGGGCTCCGGGCTCCCGCACGTGGCAGACACCAGCTACGTCTCCGCGGAAGGCAGGCGCCGGGGAGTGGGGTGCGGGCGGCCGGGTGCAGCCGCGGCGCATCTCCGCCTTCCGCTCCTCCTCGCAGCGCCCTCGCCCGCTTCCAAGCCCAGCACAGACTTCGGTTTCTCCGCCTCCATCCCCTTTACGAGAAGAGGAGATTAAAAAATATTGCCCTTTAGGTGCTTGTGATGGTCCTGTGGGTTCGTTCAGTTGCCGGAAAAGAATGGTAACATGAACAGCGGAGCGTGAGAGCGTCACCGGGGGAAGGGACGAGATTGATGGGCAGAGCGCTCACTTCTCAGAGGATCGCATTCCTAGGACCGCGCGAGGAAGGGACGTCGCGGCGCCACCACTTCCTGGCTGGACTCCGCTGACATCTGTAGCCTCCTTTCCACCAGGTGCCCGGGGCTCCCAGCCTCTGCCTGCAGAGGAGCGTGTAGACAGCGCGCGAAGGTCCAGGAGTTCGTGGACCTCCAGCCGAACCAGAGTTCTGCCTGGATCCCGGTGGAGTCCCTGCATCCCGGTGGAGCCCGCAGGCAAGCTGGCTCCGGAGGGAGTTGAACTTGAGTTCAGGTGGGTTATCCCAAGGGGAGCACTGGAAAAGATGTTCAGGGAAGACGAGGAAGGTGACGCTGTTCCAATGTCAAAAGCGGACACTTTTCTTCTTGACACTTGAAGGGGTTGAGCCAGTTCTCTCTCCTAACCCGCTCCACCCCGACCAAGCCCTCCTACACTAAGGGGGTGGGGGGCGAACAACAGCAGCAGCAACAAAAACTCCCATTTACCTAAGTTATCTAGCATGCTGTTGACTTTTTCGTAACTTACCTTTAGTCAATGAAACGACCATATTTACTCCATTGCTTTATATTAATGGAGGTCAATGAGCTTAATGATTTCCTCAGTCAAGTCATTTATTTCTAAGCCAATAGATAATGCCTTCGTCATAGTTTTCTGGGGGGAAAGTAACTGTGCGTTTGTTCTGCAGATGGCCAACTCCCTCTGAATCGTGCAGATTGGTGCTGAGCACGCAACAAAAGTTTGTAGCTTCTCAGTTTCTGGTGCTTCGCAGGGGAGAGGAAAGGAATTTGACACTAAACACAAGAAGCAGTCAGGGAGCCATCTCCTTTAACTTTTCTTCTCTGTTACCATTTGCAATGAAGAGGAAACAGAAGAGATTTCTGCAGATGACTTTGTTATTCACGGTGGCTTTAATTTTCCTGCCTAACATTGGTCTCTGGTCTCTGTACAAGGATAAGCACCTGGTGAAGTCAGCGGAACCCGGGGAGCAGCAGGTAAGTGCCACCCAGAGAAAGATCACAGAAGGATTGGTAAGGCAGTGATACTGGGGCAGGGACTCCAGAAACCCGGTGTGAGATCGCCTTGGGTTTTCCCCCAGGTCTTGACAAAGCTGATTATTACAAGACTTTAGAGACTTTGGGGTTTAAGCAAGTAGCTGTTTTAAGATTGCAGTCAGTAACATCGTGACGTGTACAACTAGTAAAGAAGTATAAGAGAGGTCAAGAAGAAAAGAAGATAATCTTTCACCATTGGTCTTAGGTTGATTTTGGCTTGAGGTGGATGAAAGGTAACTGTTTAGCTATGGAGGTGGGAGTGGGTTTGGTGCAAGTTTAGTGACAAGGATAGGTTTTTGGTTTCCATTTGGCATGCAAGTCCATGTTCGGGTGAATGAGGCCAACTAAATCTTTAAGATTGTGAAGTGGTTCTTTAAAAATCAAGCTACACTTTTCAGTATTTTGGTTGTAAATTGTGCTTAGCAACAGCTTTTTACCCTGTCGAAACTTAAAGTCTCTCTTTCGTCTCCCCTGTTGCTAAGGTGCTGCCATGGGGTACACAGGCAGAGTTATTAAGGATGTTCATTCCGTTTCACAGTCGCTTGATAACAGTATGTTGCTAACAGCTTGCTGTCATATTGGAAACACCCATACTAAAGATATGCAGTATAATATGTTTTCTTTCTACTTAATATGTTACTCATTAGTATGTATATACCTCATGACTTAACATGAACCAAAATAACTGTGTTCCCAAGTGAACAATAATGAAAACGAGACTTCCCAAAATGTTGATGAAAATCAATGTTGTCGAACTCCTTGTTTATTAATAAATAAAATAGCTTCCATAATTAAACTTTTAACAACAGAATGCAGCCTTCTTCATGATATTGATATACCACTGTTTCAGTTAGTCCTGTGCATCGTCTTGGAATATTAATATTCTTATTTTCAAGGGTCATCACCCATGAACACTCTGTACTTTCCACACATAGAAAATGTTGAAGTAGTCCATTCCTGGAAAACAGCAATATATAGTAATAGCCATTAAATATTTGCTCTTATACTTAATGAAGTTTAATTTTCTTTTTGCACAGTGGTTAGTTGTGAAATATAAAGAGGTAATCTGCTTTTTCATCATGACAAAAAGTCATTACCAGTCTCTAAACTTTAAAGAGAATGAGTAGTCCAAGGATTTTCAGTGGATTGTTATTTTGAGGATAAATGTTGACATATTTTCATTTAGATGTTAATATTTATTATGCTTTCTAATAGGAATTCAGCTTTGCTTTGAAGTATATTCTGTTTTGTCATTCCAGTGAAAAAAAGAAGATGGACACTTTGGATGTGAAACTTTTTTTGTTCTTATTTACATCATTCAACCCTTGATGTAAAACAGGATTTTAGTAACTTTAGTAGTCAATATGCTATTGTGTAAAATCTGCATTCCATGTTGGTAAAATAAGAAAGGCAAAATTATTTTTTTCTTGAAATTTGCTAATTCAATTAGCAATAACCATCTGAAGTATTTGCTGGTATAGCTAACATAAAACACTAATTAATTTTATTAATGAGATTCTTACAACTTTCACGTTGGCTCTATTAATTTTGACCCTGAATGAGAAAATTGTTTGTCTAGTAGCATAAAAAAAATACTGTGACAGTTTAACTCTCTGATCTGTCATTATTATAATTAAGACTGTTTCCTTATTTCTGGTTCTTCTGTAGTGCAAATGATACTTAATTTCAGGTAATAAAGTAATGGGTATAAAAGACATGGGGTGGCAAGAGAAGTTTCATATACTGTAGAATAAATAACTGAGATTGATGGATATTGCATGACCTTCTAATTTAATAACCCTATGCAAAGCCTTTGAAACCAAGTGGGAAAGAAAATAAACCCTAAAATGAAAGTCAATCATCTACTTTAATATTACCTAAATAGCAGTTTTAAAACTGTTATTTTTAAAGTTATTTTAACTGTTAAAAAATATATTACCTAAATAACAGTTTTAAAACTGTTATTTTAACAGTTTAAAACTAATACTTTTTATAGATTAAAATATAAAATTTAAAAGGTAGAAATTAATTGATTACTTACTGAAAGATAGAATTCATTGTAAACTAGAAACAGTTCTCATTGGTTTTATTCTATTATTTATTATAATTAGAAGGAAAATTAGGATAATTTGTCCTCAATAAGCAAGTTTTGGGTAAGTAAGAGTTAAGTAATTAATATTTATATTGGAACAAATAAAAAGCAACTTTTCAAACATGCTTAATATTGTGATGTAATATTTGGCTAATGTATATATATTTCAATGTTAGCAAGGTGACTAAACATATAGGTTTTTACATTGAAACATAATTTGGCTAGTGGTTAATATGTTATTTCAATTTAGCAATTAATTTTTAAAGGACATTTTCATGGTTAATTGCTAAATGTTCTCCAGAAACCATTTATTACCGTATTTCTCTCCAAGTTGCAAAATGCTGAGGGTGAGGATAATGTGCAGATCGAAGCACTGACAGCAATAAGTACTGATGCTAGTCAAACAAGTCACGTGCCCAAATGAGTGAACTATTTTCACAGCACTTATGTGTAAAACAGCCAGGGGTTCTAGTTCTAAGTACCATGTGGTAGTGGTCATAAGAACTGAAAAACTTGCACAGTTTTAAATAGTTTAATTATTAGAAAAGGTTACAGGGGAAAAAATTAATGTGTGGAAATTCAAAATTATGGAATGGCTAGTACTTTTAAAATATGCATTATTTATATTTTAGCAGATCATATCACTAGTAATTTTTCTATCTAGTATTGAGTATAAATTGTACTAATTCTGCAATCTGAACTAAATAAAATTAAGGGAAATGAAACAGGAAACACTGATGGGAACCACATGGATTAATTTTCACAATATTTAGTATTTAACATATTTTGTCTGTCTGATTACACATTAATAGTTTGTATTTTCTAGACCTTCATTTAAAAATAAATTTAAGATAACTTTCTAATATTTAAAAATTTTCTGCATCTATGTTGCAGAAAATGAAACAAAGATGTAAAAATTACCAAGTTATTTATTTCAAAGTTTTTCTTTTTCCTTTGCTCTCAGAAAACCAAAGAGGATCGATACAACAGTTTTAATAACACAATGTAATTAAAAGCTTTTTACGGTTTGGGCTCTGCAAACTTGAAATCAAGTCACTGAAATAAATATGAAGTTTTTGAGATTTTAAGATTTCATAAAAATTATAAAGTGTTTTAAATTTTTATTTAGATGTTGTTACATTATTATAATTGTGATATGTTATTTTCAATAGACTTAATTTTGTCTCCTTTTTTGTTATTGGGATGAAATAAGTATCTCCTTTATGTCATTTAGAAATATATATGTATATTAAAAGAATCTATTGATAATATATTTAGCTGAGAAAGATTGCTATATAATCACTGTACAGTAATTCTTAGCTTCACTTTTCTGTTTAAACATTTGAAATGCTCCTCTTCTCTTGTTTTAGCTGTATTTGAATTAAATACCACTTACATATTTAGGTAATAAGTTGTGAATTAGGATGACATATAGAATAATACTATACTTTAGAACAAAACTACTATATCCAGTCTTATTGTGTTTCTCTTTTCTTAATCACTTATTCAAGAATATGTGAAAAAAACCTAGCACCAAATACTTTTTCCTAAATACATTTTTAAAAACTCCAAATTCCAAAAAAAAAGTAATGGTAATAGTAATTTAACAACTAACTTGGAAATAATATTAATTACAGATATAATTCAAGAATATTTAGAATATGAAGAGGATCTTGCAACTTTTGAAATAAAAATGAGGGCCAAAATCTTATAATTTTAAAACAGACTCTCTTAGAACTGTTCAGAATGATTTTAGAAGCTTATCTTGTCCTAGATTTTCTACCACATTAAAAAAAAAAAAAAAAAAAAAAAAAAAAGCCTAGGTCCTCTATGTCTCTTTGAAATTGTGGAATCTTATTATTTATTTGAATTTCAGAATTTCTATTTTTAAAGTAGGGCTATTCGTGCGTGTCACATAACGAGATGAATAAAGTCCTGAGAGATCACACCTTATATGTGGAAAATATTGTGAGGTAATGCATTGTTTCTGTCAGATTCACTTGTAAACTGTGCTTGACAGATATGTGACTTTACCTCCATTAAAAAAAATAACTCTGAAGGGGATACCTTAGCATCTTTGTCTAATTCATCTAATGTTAACCAGCCCTGCACTGCAGGGGGAGCCTTCTTTTTGAACAAAAATTTTTTTCCAGTGACTTTTAAAACTTGTCTTATAACATGAAAATATCAGGTAATTGGTGCCCAGTGTATGCAAACTGTCTTACGCATTATTTTTTATTACGCTGATCACTAATGCTGTAAAATATGTCTGCGTTCCTTTTTCAGCAAATACCTTAGAATTTGGAAGAGCTAAGGACAGGAGGAAAAATTCACACCTACATGCAGGATGGCACATTATCAATACACTAGATGTGAAATGACACATTAGTTTGAGCCACAGTGTTCTTAATTAGCTAAGATGTAGATTTGAAATTAGGGTTTTAAAGGACCTTTTCTTGAATTTATGGAAAATCCATTCAGAATCACTACAGGGTGGCACCACACGGAACACTGTAACAAGTATCTTAATTATTTGCTGTGACCTGGTAGATCACTACATGATTAGTTCATCACATTGCCCCATGGGAGACAGAGTGTAAAACAGTCTTCTGTTCACAATCTGGTAACAAAAAAAGAAAGATGATTTTTTTTCCCCTCTGTTCATTTCTGAGTTGGACAAGCTGTGCTGAATCAATTAGCTTCCTATAAGTTTTTCCTATAAAAGGAGCCAAATCAAGTTGGAATATATAGGAAAAGGGTGAGAAAGGTTGAGTGATTTAAGTGGTGTAGAAGAAAGGATTGAATTTTTTTGTTTGTTTGCCAGTAGTAGCCATGACAACCCTTAGAA